GAGCCTGAGAGAGCATTGTGATCCAGCTGGCTGCAAGAAGAAAGGAGCGGAAAATAGAGGGATGGAAGAGGGGCGCGTGTCTGAATGAATAAAAAAAGGAGAAGCGAAGTAAAATGTTACTCCAGTAAAACGCATAGAGGTGATGAGTTGGGTTGGAACCAGGAAAGACGATGCCGGTGGGCTTGCTTTGATTGTTTGTTCGATTGTTTTCTTTGCAGTAGGGAGGTGATATTGCGCAGAGGTGGCATATGCCAATGAGGTGGCTCACACAAAGCCAAGTTTTCTCCAGTGAGGCAGTAACATTTGAAAAGCTTTGCAATTTCTTTATGCAAAGTCGGCTCGCACGACGCCGAGTTTTTGCAAGCCAGTGGTGCCGGCAGGAAGGGCAGTGGTGCGGCAGGAAGGGCAGTGGTGTGGCAGAGAAACTGTTTTTACCAACGAGGCAGTAACATCCAAATAGGACTTTCTCATGCAGATCTAGCTCACAGGAAGCCGAGTTTCGATAAGGCAGTGATTCCAGCAGGAATTGACGCTGATAGCTGGTTGCCGCTGGCAGAGCTGGTTGGGTTTGGGTCGGGGAGATTTGATAGAGAGAATATTGGGTGTGGGTTAGGAGCTGGTTGGGTGTGGGTGGGAGAGATTTGAGTGGGAGAGATTTGGGTGTGGGTTAGGCGCGCTTAGAATGATAGAGAGACAGCAAAACTTGCATTTTTGAGAGGGAGCCTGAGAGCTGGTTGACACTGGCAGAGATGGGGGATGCTGATGGGAGAGAGGGCAGAGTAGGAGGTAAAAAAGTGATCATATTAGACTGGTTGTACTTGACTGGATGTGTGTGTGTGTGTGTGTGTGTGTGTGTGTGTGTGTGTGTGTGTGTGTGTGTGTGTTCATGCAAGTATCGAAATCTGCATGCACACACACACACACACACACACAAGCTAGCTATGGAAGGGCATCCACTAAGCTGGAAATGGAATACACACAAAAACTAGACAAGAAGTATTCGATGACCGCAGGTGAGCGCATTGCGAAAAGGGACCAAGGGTGAAGGACCTGGGGGCCTGGGGGCACAATGCACAGGCAGCTGAGGGATAGGAGGCTTGATATGGTGGCTGGGTTGGTTGGACCCGCTGAGGACAAAGAGACTGAGAGGATTGGACAGAGTTTAGGTTGAGGAGGTGGTTAGGTAGGATCAGGAGGTGGTTAGGTAGGATCAGGAGGTGGTTAGGTAGGATCAGGAGGTGGTTAGGTAGGATCAGGAGGTGGTTAGGTAGGATCAGGAGGTGGTTAGGTAGGATCAGGAGGTGGTTAGGTAGGATCAGGAGGTGGTTAGGTAGGATCAGGAGGTGGTTAGGTTTCTGGTTTGCGTGTTTGTGATTGCCTGTGTGTTTGCATCTTCCTTTGTATCACCCCTTCAGTAATGCAAGGACCATTCGAGAGGATTGGACAGAGTTTACTCAAACGTCATGTCTTGAATGAAGGGCTCCATATGACGTACAGATAGCTCAGAGAGAGCAGGCTAGAGATGGAGGCTGGGATGGACCCTGAGAGGGAGTTGGCGTTTGCGAAACTGCAGGAGGGGAGAGAGTGGGGTGAAGAAGGGGAGAATGAAAGGGGGAATAGATGGATGGGGTGGCAGACAGTGGACAGGGAAACGTGTTAGTGAAAGAGGTGGGGAGGAAAGGTGATGGCGTCAGTGGGAGTGAGGAAGTGCGGGTGAAGAAAGGAGAGTGAGGAGAGGAGGGTGAAGATAGGAGGGTGAGTGAAAAGAGGAGGGAAAAGAGGTGCCGGGGGTTCACTGTAACTTTTGAGTCGACTCAAAAGTCACCTCTTCACTGTAAGACATACAAGTATCTGAGGCGGGAAAGTTTGCCAATGGTGGATGGAAGAGATCCCGAGATCTTATTATTACTCAGGTACCTGATGGGACGGGATAGGTGTTAAGACGCAAGAGGCCAGCAGAGGGGTGCATGGGTTAGGTGAGGTACGTGTTGCTGTTTGTTGTGGATTAAGAATGAGGACGGGTTGAGTTGAGGAGCTTATTGCTGCTCAGATGCCTGAGGATGGGGATGATGCAGCAGGAATGCAACGAAATCAGCTATTCTGAAAAGTGACTTTCATATTGCAGCAGGTATGCAACGAAATAAGCTATTCTCAAAAGTGACTTTCATATTGCAGCAGGTATGCTACGAAACAAGCTTGGGGAGTGAGCTGGCCTCAAGATGCAACTTTTAGGCGCCTCAGACAAGCAGCGCCATTTCCCATCGGCCAAACGACAACTCACAGCCAAATAAGTTTCGAGAGTGATCCGATTTCAGACGGGATTGAGCTGGTGAGAGAGTTGTTGCGGAAGTCCCTGGTGCCAGGTGGAGTGCGGTGGAGCGTGGTGAGGGGGGGTTGGGTAGGAAGAGGAGGAAGAGATTAAGGGGGGGTTGCGTTGAATGGGGGTATAGAAAAGAAAACCATGAGAAGAAGGGGCGAAGCCGGGAGGGAGGATTGCTCATGCAGAGGCCACTGGGCCAGGTGAAGGAGGGAGAGTCACGTGTAATGAGGTTGTTTTTGAGACGTCTCAAAAAGAGGCCACTGGGCCAGGTGAAGGAGGGAGAGTGGGAGCGGAAAGCGAGAATGGGAGGGTTAGGAGGAGCGAGTGCACGTGGATGGAGAGGGTAAGCTGTGAGAAGAAGGGGCGAAGCCAGTCAGAGAGTTGATGCGTGAATGACTCTCGCACGACCAACAGGCCTTGCATTGCATGACTCATATGACTCGCGCCTTGCATGCCCCACTCGCATGCATGCCCCACTCACTCGCATGCCCCACTCACTCGCATGCCCCACCCACTCGCATGCCCCACCCACTCGCATAGCTCACACAGCTCACATTAGCTGCAGAGCTTGCACACGCGAGATGGATGCTGGGATGGACCCTGTAAGCTGGTTGCCCCTTAGAGAGCTGAGGAGAGGAGAGGGAAGGAGGGGAGAGAGAAGGAGGGGAGAGGGAAGGAGGGGAGAGGGAAGGAGGGGAGAGGGAAGGAGGGGAGAGGGAAGGAGGGGAGAGGGAAGGAGGGGAGAGGGAAGGAGGGGAGAGAGCATGAGCTGGAGTGAGATGGAGGCTGGGATGGGCCCTGTAAACTGGTTGCCTCGAAGAGAGCTGACGAGAAGAGATTGAAGGAGGGGAGAGAGAGAGGAGAGGGAAGGGAGGAGAAGAGGGTGGAAGTGAGGATAGGAATAGAGATAGGCCAAGGGATAAAAAAAAAGAAGACATAGTGTGTGTATGTGTGTGTGTGTGTGTGTTCTTCTTTCCTGTAGTCAACTAGGAGTCGAGGTATCAGACGTGTATTAGAGAGGCGATAGTAAACTTACCAAGGAGCATTGCAAAAGGGCAATGGTGAGAAACACAACACTACAAACACTACTAGCGCAAAATACTCAATGAAGCACTAATGGCGGGTAAGAGGTTGATTCTGAGAAGGAAAACAACATATATAGATATGTATATATAACAGTATAAATACTTAACAATACCCACAGGTAAGAGAGGGCAGACATGGTCGATATCTGCGAGGGGATTGGCCCCTCCAGACGATTGCCATCCATTCGGCTGGAGAGAGAATGAGAGGGCGCAAAGATACACAGCATACGGGGACAGGACGGGAGATGTCAAGATGTAAGGGTACATATCATAGGAGGGGCAGGGCATATGCGGGTGTAAGTAGCAGTAGGGGAGATGGGCAATGATTTTTCGAAAATCTCAAGAACCACCTATAGGCTGCAGATGGCATGGGATGGAATGGGAGAGGAGCAGATGTGACAAAAAGACAAAGGAGGCGGGGGATTACTGGGAGGAAGCGCAGGGTAGCAGAAGGAGAGGGTATGCGGGAAATATGCACGGGACAGCACATTTTACAGCACTGCACAGTCGACAGCAGCTGCTCTTATGTCATTTAGGAAGCTAGCGAGTCTTACATAAAGGTGAGATAAGATAGGCGGGAGATGCCAACAGGTAAGTTGCCAGTGAGCCTGTTTTGTGCCATGTTCCTGTGGCAGGAGGGGAATGGGAGAACGTCGATGGGAGCATGGGACGGGAGCGAACATGTGGTTCTGGGCATGGGGGATTATGAAGAAGGGGAATATGAGGAATAAAAATAGTGGATGGGAGCATTATGATTATACACTAGATGGGATGGGAGAAGAACGGAATTGGGGGCAACACGGGCGTGCAAAAGCATATCCGATAGGAATTACAGCATTAAGGAAATGAATGAAAGAAAGAAAGGAATGAATAGATATTAATTAAACAAACAGGGCGGGCGTACAGCTGCTGCAGTGCTGTTAGCGATGTGATTCCTTTTGGGAATGTCCCGGATATCTGGTTGTTGCTGAGATGGCTGAAGCAGTGGGAGGGGAAGGCGAGAAGGCAGGACGGCTGTAAGAAGAAAGCGTTGGAAAGCAGGTGGACTAAGCAAGGTGAGAAGTTGGGAAGGTCAAAGAAAGGGCGTACAGGTGGAGACGCACTGTGTTGACATGACAAACGTCTCAAAGCAGGTGGGCGAAGCAATTGGAACGGCAGGTGAGGCAGGGACGTGAGTGTGACAATACAGGGAGGTGAGTGTACAGGGAGGTGAGTGTGACAATACAGGGAGGTAAGTGTAGCGTTGAGTAGGGAGAGGGTGGAAGGGAGGGAGGTGACGTTGTTGCCAGCAGACCTGGTGTGAGAGGGGAAAAGGGAGGAGAAGGGATGAGTGGTGGAGGAGGGAGGAGCGGAGGAGAAGGGAGGAGCGGAGGAGAAGGGAGGAGCGGAGGAGAAGGGAGGAGTAAACGTGGAAAAGGGGATGTGGGCAGGATAAGGGAGGAGGGCCCAAGAAGGGAGGAAGAGGGAGGAGACTAGGCAGAAGGGGAAGGAGGATACGAGGTTTCGGGGAAAGACAGATGTTCATTCAGCACAAGAACGAACGAATGCGAGCTGTGGTGCAGAGCTCGTGTGAGAGGGGAACGAGGGAGTGGGGATCAGTGGAAGGAGAGGGAGGAAAGAGAAAGGGTGAGAAGAGACAGAAGTGAAACTACTGCTAGAGAGAAGGGGCAGCAAGAGGGAGCTGACAGGAAGGCGAGGGATGGCAGTTCAGCAATAGCGTTGGGGAGCGAGCCGTTGACCCCATACAGCGTGCTGCAGGGGGGTCAACCGGGGTGAATCGGATGGGGGGACAACAGGGTGGCGGGGGGGACGACATGGAAGTGGATAGCGTTGGGAAGGGAACCGTTGACCCCATACAGTGTGCTGCAGGGGGGATGACCGAATAGGGTCGGGGAACGACAAGGGTGGTGTTGGGGGGAAACGATTGGGGTGGTGGGGGGGACAATACAGAACGGATGAAGAGGGAAATGGGGAAATGACCAGGGTGGGTGGGAGGCTGGGAGAGGGGAGGGAGTGCCAGAGACACGGAAAGGTGCTGATTCGAAACATGTAAAAACAAGGTGACAAGGAAAGGCAAGAGATTACTAGCAGAACTTGCCAGGTGACACGACAGAGCATCTGAGATATGAGAGCAGTAAAAAATGTGGGCTTATCACACGACGAAGATATTCAAGGGTTCGAATCCCCACGGATCACTCAAACAACGTATCCGTAGACGTCGCAGATAACGCCAAAGAGCTCATCGCAGCTGTCTCTCTATTGAGTAACCCACAGAAGGTCGTCCGTTTACAACACATGCGTTACAAACGAAGTAACTCACAGCGCAACAACGTATCCGTAGTCATCGCAGATAACCCCAAAGAGCTCGTCGCAGCTCTTGGCGCTCTTCCAGTAGGTCTTGGGGCTGCGGGCGGGGTTGGTGAAGTTGAGCTCATTGCGAATGCGCAGCAGCGTCTTCCCTGCAGGGATGGGGTGGCATGGCATCGGATTGGTTGGCATTGCATGGCATCATGGCATGGCATGGCATGGCATGGCATGGCATGGAATGACTATTGGAAGGAATTCTGATTGGTTCTGGAGAGGTTTGCTGGGGGAGGGGTGAAAGGGGATGGAGCGAGATGAGTAGGGGTTGGGGGGGGTGTGGTTGGAGAAGGAACAGATGGGCACAGTTTACGACTTAGCAATTCCAGAATCTCTCAATGCAGGCCGGACAGCTACGCACGAGACGGAGAATGATTTAGCGCAACGTCGGCATTGCTCGACTTGAGCGAAAATCCTGTGCGTGGTAACCGAAAAACGTTTCTTTCTGGTTCACTGACAGATTCAGTCAATCGGCTGCATTCTGAGGAGCAGCGACAGCAATACTAGATGAGCCGAGACGGATACAGCACGATGAATTTCGGCGAAAAACGGTTACATGGTAACCTGGAAACGTACAGTCGGATCCGTTGACGGCTTGAGCAGTTGCGGTCTGCTGCTGCAGGGCGACTAGCGACAGAAGAAACACGACCGCGAGCGACAGACTTAGCCGCGGAACGTGGAAACGACGCGTTCGTTCGTCCGTCTCCATTTCCGAGGGTATGTCGTCTGGACTCCCCGCTTCCGAGGGTATTTCGTCTGGACTCCCCGCTTCCGAGGGTATGCTGTGTGGAATCAGTAACTACTCGAGCCGCGACGTTGGCGGGAGGCACATGTTTGGTAGAATGCGCATTTTCGCGGTACGATTAAGCGGAGGATGGCGGAGTATCGGGGAAGGGAATGATCGTACGCGATAAAGATTGACGCGCTGGTAGTAAATGGAGCGCTGAACGCTTGAATAAATAAATTGCGGAATCCAGCCGGGAACGAGGGCTGGAACGACTCGCCTGGAACGGAATGTCACGTAGTAGCGGAGGCAACTCTTGAAGGTGTGCCTAAGCAAAACGCGGCTATTGCGCTGACGTGAAGCGGCGAGGGATTAGTCTGGGAGGGAAGGGATAGAACGGTCAGGGAAGAGATTGTTAGGGAGGTAGTAAGGGTTAGGAAGGGAATGGTGAAGGAAAGGCCTCGAAGAAAAGAGTCACGCAGTCGAAGCGTGGAGGACAGAGGTTCCTGTGTCTTATCCTGCCAATCAACTGTCTTCTCGAGAAGGACGCCATTGTTGTCAGAAATGCAATCCCTGTGGGGGGGCAACCTGGCGGCGAATTTGTTGTCACGGCGACCAGGCACGGAAATCATGGAACAAGAGAGAAACAAGCATCTGAACCAAGGCTGTCGCTTGGTTCGGGGCCAACCCTTTACGAGCCTGGGCTGGCCTGAAACGAGCCCTGAAACATCGGGAATGCAGCCCAATCCAGCCCTTACAATTCAGGCCATTTTGATTCCTGCTCTGAGCCACATGCATCTGAGACTTAAGTTTTTCGGTCTACTTTACAGAGCGAAGCACGCTGGGAAAACGGGGAGGTGGTTGGGGGGTCGTTGTTGGGAGGGAGGGGAGAGGGGCACATCAAAGGTCAGAAGGAGAGAGGGAGGGGGATTGGGGGGGGACGGGGTGTGGGGGAGGGAAGGGGAGGAGTTGGTAGGGAGGAAATCGGGGGAAGCTTCAAACCTGTCCGAAGATTCTTCCACACCATTCAAATTGTTTCTACAGTATTATGAAGTTTATATCTCCCAGGATTTTCTCACCGCTCAGTGACGTATTTGTAGAGGCACTTTAAAAGGGTTCGTGGATCACACACGGTGGTGCTTGCAGCGGAAATCATAGCCAGGCCACATAATTATGTGGGCTATTCTTCGAAAAAAGGTAAAACTTTAAAGGTACAGTTTCGTGACGGGCAATCTTATAAACGGCTCTGTTATACGAAGGTGCTACTGTCCAAGACTAAGCTAAAGCAAGGTATTAAAATGTCGGTTTTGTCGAACATATGAAGATGCTTCCACACCCGTGAAATTGTTTCTAATAAACAATTTTACCTCCCCTTGGATTTCCCGCTCTTCAGTGACGTGCGCACTTGTGGAGAGGACTTACAAACAAATTTCACAGGTTAATGGATCACACACGCTGGTGTGTGCTGCGGGAATCATAGCCAAGGCACATAGTTTGCTGGAACAATCTTTAAAACGAGGTGTAATTTAAAAGGTACAATCACGTTACGGGTAATCTTGTAAACGACTCCAATATACACAGGTTCTACGGTCAAAAACGAAGGTTTAACGAGGTATTTCAAAGACGGTGTTTTGTCGAACATCTGAAGATTCTTCCACACCCATGTGATTGTTTCTATTGTAAAAATTCACCTTCCCAGAGATTTCCCGCTTTTCAGCGACGGATTGTGGTTTGGCACTTACGTACGGATTTCACGGGTTCGATCAGACACCCTGGTGCTTGCAGCGGGAATCATGGCCAGGGCAAATAATTAGCTAGACTATTCTTTAAAATGAGGAGTAGTTTAAAGAGGTACAAATATATGACGGGAAATCTTCTAAACGACTCCGTTTCTTAAGGTTCTACTGTCCAATACGAAGCTAAAACGAGGTATCTGGTGACGGTGTTTGTCGAACTTCTGAAGATTCTTCCGCACACATGAAATTGTTTGTATTGTAAAAATTACCTTCCCAGAGATTCCCGCCTTCAGCTACGTATTGTGGTTGGGCACTTACGAACGGATTTCACAGGTTCGTGGGTCAGACACGCTGGTGCTAGCTGCGGGAATCAAAGCGAGGGCTTGCTGGGCTAATATTTGAAATGAGGTGATATTAAAAGGATACAAGTACTTGACGGGTAATCTTCTAAACGACTACGTTTTACGAGGTCTCTACTGTCAAAAACAGTGCTGTCACGAGGTAGACAGTGTTTTGTCGAACATCGAACCCCTTCAAGTTTTTTTTTTTCAACCCTCCCAGGGTTCCCCACTCGCACGGAATCCCAAATATCCCGCTCTGCACTTTACAAACTCCCCATGTTGTCCGTTGGGAAACCGAGCCAAGGAGAAAACAGCCCTGAAATCTCTGGTCTGAGATTGAACTAGTCCTAAATTCTCAGGGTAAACGGACGATCTCCGTGAATCAACAGACCTCTGAACAATGACAAGCTAGCTGTCGTGACTCGTGAGTCGTGATTCGTGAGTCAACCAACCACCCGTTGGGCCCACACTCCGCAAGCAGGCTGCCTGTTCCGCCTCGGGAATGCATTCACGGCACAAAATGAGAATTTACAGTTTCTGTATTTTCTTAATCGTGTCTGTCATATCATTTGTTCAATGAAAAGAAAGCGGGATAGTCTATATCGACCCATTCCAAGCAGCCCCACCAGGACAAAGACACCTGACTCGAGCAACCTAAGAGCGTGTTACGTACCCCTTATTTTGGGGCCCGGTCGCGGTTGCCTCAAACATGCCGGTTGGGTTGAACGTAGGGTTACCGGATAACCCTACGCTCTACAGTGTACAGTAATGTACGTGCGTACCATACCCGTCTGGCAGCTGGTCGAGGCAACCACGTAGTCGGGCAACCGACTGGTCTCGACCAGGTAAAACCGTATTGAGGCAACCAGGGTTGAACGTACCTAACCGCCGCGCAAACAGAGGGTGCACGAAAACATTGCGGGCAGGTTGCACTAGCGAGACTTGATGTGACTGGTGCAATCAAAATTTCATCAATTTTTGGCCACTAAGATTGACACAGTGACTGTTGGGTCTACCCGAAATACTGTTGGCACGGTTGGGTCCCAAAAGCAGGCGAGTGGTACATTTGCAGGTTGCCTGCTAGGTACCCAACCGGCCAAGTTGACAGCCCCGGTTGACCTGACCAGTCAGGTTGAGTCGACTTTTGGGATGATATACCTCAGCGGACGAAAAATGCCGCCCAATTTCGCGGTTCAAAAGGGACAAGGCCCCCCCTCGGGATTGACGACCTCCCGACGACCTCCGAGCTCCCAGACGGGCCCAAATGGCGTCCCAGGGGCCTCGGGAGCCCTCGGGATTGTCGACAATCCGACGACACCCGTTTGCGCTGGGAGATTCCTGAGAAGGAAATCTCAGCGGACAAAATTCGCCACGTCGAGCCGCGGATGCCTCCACGCGGACCAATAGGGAGGTGCGAGACCCGCCCCACCGATTACAAGGCTGCCACGACGTGGGCGTCGTGGCCACGCGTCGCTCTAGCGGTGCAAACCCACGCGGCGCAAATCGGACCGTCCACATCTTCACTGTCTTGTGGCATCGCGGGTTGCCAGGGAAGTCGGTGTCGACCAGATCATCCCAAGGCACACAAACCCGGCCACACGGCACGTTCTCTGCCAAGCGCGCCGAGTGGAAGTCGGCGCCGATCATAGGCCCCCCACGGCATGGTTGCCACGCCGTGCTTGAGTCATCCCGGGCCTCCGGGAGATCCATGTCTGCTTGCCTTAATTTCTGCACTGGGGCGCCAATGGCGGTCGCAAGCCACGTAACGCACGCCCATTCCGACGTGGAATGGCACTGGCTTACGCCCCTTCCGTGCAGCGCGGCGCCCAGCTAGCCATGCCTGGCACGTGCCACGTCGGACAGTGCGCCGCCTTTACGAGAACACATGCACGGCGGCGGATGCATTGGGGTGTGCGTGACGCGCGGCAGCATCGTAGTCGCTCAGGACCATACCCGTCCGTTGCCCCGCGAGCCTGCTCATTCGCTTGTCCGTTCCTGCGTTCCTTCCTGCTCTCTCGTTCCCTTAGAATTTTCAGCTGCCAGTCTGTCATCGCGCCTGTAGGTTGCTCGACAGCCGATTGTTCGTCCAAGTCGGCACAGGTTCCACGTCGCGAGTCGACGTAGCAAGTCGGCGACGCATGGCCAGAGGTCGCCCGAGGGCCCAACAGCCGCAACCCATCCCACCCCCCGCCGACTCGGTAGACGCCGACATCAAGGCGCAGCTGGAACAGCTTGAACTCGAAGCCGAGTTAGACGCGCTTGAGCGAGAATTCGAAGAAGACGAAGACCGCCTGACGCTTCGCGCGTTCGCCGCACCCGTCACACAGTACCGTCTCTGGTTTACCACCCCTTGGGATCTCGAGGTCGACGCCGAGATAGACGTTATTGAGGGACATCTCGAGGACGACCGCCGCGCAACTGTTCGGGCGTACACCGCACCCGTGACTCAGTACCGGCAGTGGTTTAACAACCTCCCCAACGCACACGGACGACGGTAGAGCAGCAGACGTGTACCGACATGGCCGACGTCGACATGTCCGACGCTAGGCCATCCACCGACCAGGGTCCGACGACCACCGACCGCAGTCCGACATCCACCGACCACAGTCCGACACCTACCGACGAAGACAACCTGCAGTTACTCTACGATCTGGACAAGCTGACGCAGATCCCAGAAGGGGTGTTCACCACGGACGTTCCGCCACCGCCGATAGGGAAGTTCAACAAGAAGAAAAAACAGACTCCTACGCAAAATGGTCGGCCAGGTACCTCGTCGGCACCGGCCGCCCCTGGAAACCAGGTCGATGACGAGGACGCGGAGGAGGAGGGGGGGGAGGAGGAGGAGGAGGAGGAGGAGGAGGAGGAGGAGGAGGAGGAGGAGGAGGAGGAGGAGGAGGAGGAGGAAAGCGATGACGAAAACGACGACCGTCCACCTCGTAGCTCTAATCCGCGCACCTTGGACGAACGACTCAGGCGGGAACTGCAATTCATCGACATACTGCTCGACCAGGACGAGGACGAGGACCAGGAGAACTTGGCGGTGCCGCGCGAACAGTGGAGAGCGGCAGACTTCGTCGAGGAGGACATGGTTTACGCGTGCGTAGACGTGCTCGTCATGGACGCTCTTCGCCACCTGCAAACCGTGGAGAGGAACAGCACGCTGAGGCAGTACACCTCGTGGATCTATCACTACAAGAGGTGGGCGGCGAAGATGTTGAAGCAAATTCGCAACAAGCTTCCGCAGGAGTACAGGCTTAAGCACGTCGACGAGATAGGGCACTACATCCGGGAGAACAAGAAGAAAAACTGGGACCTTTCAGAATCACTAGGCAAGAATGGTGCATTGAATGGAAGAATTGGGTACAAGTAGCAAACCCTAGTTGGGGTTGTACCCCATATTGGCTACCCCACTACAGCCTACAAGCATAATATAGTTTAACACACCCCCATAGGCAAAGTGGGGGAGAACAAAGGGTCACAAGACCAGTCCAGCAAAGCAAAGCAAAGCCCAGGGTGGATCACAACGTCACCACACTCCGAGCACAAGCAAAGGCCACAAGGCCAGTTCACATGCAGTGCTAGATATAGTACAAGACAAGCAACAAGATATATATAAAGTACAGTACAAAGAATGTCAAGCAGTGAGCAAGTGAGGAAACGTGGACACAAGGCCTAAAGAAGTACAGTGCCGCTGATGGTCACTAGGCGGGAGCGCCTTGGTGAAGATATCAGCAGTGTTGGCCTTCGAGTCCACGTACACAAGCCGAAGCTGACCGCGCTGCTGAAGCTCTCGAGCAAGAAAGTAGCGAAGAGCAATATGCTTCGTCCTGTGCTCCAGTCTGTGCTCCTGACACAAGGCAAGAGCCGCCTTGTTGTCACCATACAGAACTGGAGGAGAACTAGGCCGCTCTCCCAAGTCAGTCAGCAGGTAGGTGAGCCAGCGTAACTCCTGTGCAGCCATGGCTGTGGCGTAGATCTCAGCCTCACAACTAGAGCCGAGAACAGAGGAAGAGCGGGTGGACCGCCACGAGACAGAACCTGAGCCAAGGCTGAAGGTGTAACCCTGTGACGACCGCTGCGTAGCTAGGTCGTCCACCCAAGAGGCGTCCGAGTGACCAGTGAGGACAACTCTGTTGCGTCCTCCAAGCACCAGCCCCATGCCTGATGTACTGCACAGGTAACGCAGCACCCTCTTAGCAGCCTCCCAGTGCTCTCGCCTGTGTCTCCCAGGCGCAACGTAACGAGCAAGGATGCTAAGAGGGTACGCGAGGTCAGGTCGCGTGCAAGTCATCAGGTACATGAGGCAGCCTACAAGCTCTGGGTACGGGCCACTCGGCTCTACGGACTCGTCCGAAGGTGGAGCTGAGAGCGAGTGGCTGGTAGCCAGAGGTGTGGCCTGTGGTGAGGAGAACTGGAAACCGAAGCGCTGAAGGACCTGCTGCACCATGTGTGACTGAGTCAGGGTGATGGTGCGGCGAGCTCTGTCCCGGGTGATCTGCAAGCCAAGGTAGCTACGCAGTTCACCCAGGTCAGTGCAGGTGTGTCTCTTCTGCAGCTCCGACTTCACACGAGCGAGTGCCTCAGTGTCAGCAGTAGCAAAGACCAAGTCGTCGACGTACACGAGAATGTAGAACGGCGGCAGCGACGTGTCTGTGCGCAGAAACAGCGACGGGTCAGCAGTAGACGGCGCGAACCCAAGAGCCGCAAGAGTAGTCCTCAGTGTGTCGTGCCACTCACGTGGCGCCTGGCGGAGACCGTAGACTGGCCGGCGGAGACTCCACTGGGTACCAGGGGGAAACGACCCAGTAAAGCCAGGTGGGCGGCGCAGCCAGATCTCCTCGTGCAGGCTGCCCTGCAGGAAGGCTGTGCTGAAGTCAAGAGAGTGAAGCTCGTAGTCACGCTGAGCGGCAACGTGCAGCAGAACCCGAAGAGTGGTCATCTTCGGGGTGGGGGAGAAGGTCTGGAAGAAGTCGACCCCCTGACGCTGACTGAAGCCTCTAGCAACGTAACGAGCCTTGAAGACAGGCGGAGAACCTGGCGGCCGCTTCACCCTGAAAATCCACATGCCATCGACGATGTTCGCCCCAGGAGGGGGAACCTCGTCGACGTAGGTGCCTGTGGACTTCCAGGATGCCATCTCTGCGTCCATGGCTGTCTGCCACTGAGAGGAGTAGGGACCCGAGATCGCCTCTACGTAAGTGCGCGGAGTGGGGATGTCTAGTGCATCCGGGTCTCCCTCAGGGGCAAGCAACGAGGCCACGAGATGAGGTACAGCAGCCGCAAGAGAGTCAAAGTCCTCCTGCCTGTCCTCAAGGACGTCCGTGCCAAGAGCACACTCACCCCCGACGGACGGAGGACAGACAGACGCAGACTCTGACTCAGCAACAAGGCTAGCAGCGTAGTCTAGACGACAGGCAGCAGCAAAGTCAACCAACTCAGCGACCAGAGCAGACGCAGCCGAGGACTCAAAGGTAGGGTCAGTGACAACAGTAGCGAGGAGACGCGTGACTGTAGGGTGCTCAGCGCGATACCGGTCAGACTCAGGGTCCGGAACGGCAGGCAAAGAGGACGCAGGAGGAGACGGTAGAGGGACACGCCGAGGAGCAGTAGAGGGACGCAGAGTCATGTAGTGAGTGCCTGGGACAGGAGGAGGACGCTCACGACGGACACGACTACCAGTGCGAGCAGGACGAACAGGCGACGCAGGACGAGACTCAGGCTCACGACGCTCTGTAAGACCTCCTGTGGGACCAGTATAAGGAGAGGGAGCAGGGAGAGGCGAGGCAGGCGGTAACTGTGACTGCGGCTGGACAGGCGGAGGACACTCTACGGAGGGAGGAGGACAAGGAGGAGGAGCCTGCCCAAGAACCTGCTGAAGGAGCGGTACGAAGTACGGTCGCGGCCGCGCAGCGTCTCCAGAAGCAGAAGGGACTCCAGCGGCCGGGTCCACAGCACCAGCAGCAGCTCCACCGGCCGGGTCCCCAGCTCCAGCAGCAGCTCCACCGTCCGACTCCTCAGCACCAGCAGCAGCTCCACCAGGTGGGTCCGCAGCACCAGCAGCAGCGCCACCCCCAGAGTCGGCAGCTCCAACTCCGCTAGCACCGCCAGCGCCAGAGTCCCCAGCTCCAGCAGCTCCAGTCACCCCAGGACGAGCAGCTCCAGCACCCCAAACTCCAGCCGAGCCACTAGGACGGCGAAAGCGTCGGACGTACCAGTCGCGAAGCTGCTGCGGTGTGAGAGACTGCTCAGCACCCCGAACCGGAGCACCCCCAGACGCAGTAACCCGAGGCTCCGTAGGCTCAGTAGCAGCACCCCCAGGCTCAGTACCCGCAGGCTCAGTACCCGCAGGCTCAGCACCCCCAGTCGCAGCACCCCCAGGCTCAGCACCCCCAGGCCTCGCACCCGCAGGCTCAGCACCCCTAGGCGCAGCACCCCCAGGCTCCGTACTCTCAGGCACCGTACCCTCAGCTCCAGCACCCTCAGTCCCAGCACCTGCAGCCCCAGCACCCCCAGGCCCAGCACCCCCAGGCTCAGCACCCCCAGGCTCAGCACTCCCAGCAGCACCACCCGCAGCAGCACCTGAGTCACCTGTGACCTCGACAGGCTCAGCGACGGGAGGAGGGTCTACCTGAGAGACACCTGAAGGAGCAGGACCCTGAGGGGGAAGGGGGTCTAGCGGAGGGGGACCAGGAGCAAGGAAAAGTGGCGGGGGAGGGAGGGGGGCAGTGCGGTAGGGGAAGAGACGGTAAAAGGGGACCGACTCGTCAAAGGTGACATCCTGAGAGGCGAAGACCCGGCGCGAGGTGGGGTGGTAAAACTGCCAGCCAGGCGCGTCAGGGACAAAGCCAAGGAAGACACAGGGAAGCGTGCGGGAGGAGAGCTTGTCCGCGGACGTATCGCGGACAAGGGCACGAGCACCCCACACCCGGAAGCGCGACGCATCGCCAACCTCCCCCGTCCAACGCAGTGTGGGCGAGGTCTCCGGCAAGGAGACACGGGGCCAGAGGTTGAGCTGATGCGCGGCGTACCGGACAGCAAACGGCCACAGAAAATGGGGAGCCGCCGCGTGGACCAAGGAGGTACGAGCGACCTCCATGACCAGGCCAATGCGACGCTCAGCAACCCCATTCTGCTGTGGGGAGTCCGGAAGCGTGAAGGTCTGCTCGATGCCCTCCGCCTGACAGAAGGTCCTCAAGAGGTCGGAGGAAAACTCACCACCTCTGTCAGAGTGCAGACGCAGGACAGGAAGATCCGTCCGGAAACGGCGGCGGAGCTGGAGACGAACCGTGCGGATCCAAGGGATCAGAACAGCAGGGACCTCACCCTTGGTGCGCAAGGGGAAGACCGTGGTGTAACGCGAGTAGTCGTCGACAACCAGCAAAAAATACCGCTCACCGCCCTGACCACGAACGCGGGCTGGGCCCCACACGTCCATGTGGAGGGTCTCCAGAGGAGCCTCTGTCGGGGGGAACGAGGAGGAGTGAGGAGCGGCGCGCTGCCGCCCCTCGACGCAAGGAAGGCAAGGCGGCGCAGGCGAGGCAGGGAGGGGAGGGAGGGACCTGGGAAGACCGGACACAAGGAGGCGACGGTGCATGCCACGAAGGCGTGGCAAGGAGGGGTGACCCAGGCGGTGGTGCCAGAGAAGAGTCTGGTGCGACAGGGAACGACACTCACAGGCGTGGGCCACCAGACCTGACTCAGACACCTGACCGACAGCAGCTACCTGGGGAGACGCAGTGGTCAGTGTGTAGAGACTCGACCCCGGCCGACGGGTGAACGTGGCCAGGTGACGGCCGGTCCTGGAGCACGTGCAGATCGCCACACGCTGTCCGCCAGGGGTAAAGGTGTCAACCCACTGATCCTGGAGGACAGCGTTGCTCACCAGGTTCGTCGAGAACGAGGGGAGGTGGAAACCCGACAACGAGCCAGACGGAACCGCCGGACAAGGGAGGACAGTGGTGGACTGGGCAAGGACTGGGCCCCCAGAGGGGTCAGCCAAGGAGACTGGGACCGGTGCAGGAAGCGGTGTGAGCTCAGTACTGTCACGAAAGAAGCAACGGGAAGCACCTGAGTCAAGGGTGAAGGTGTGACAGGCCTCAGCCGGTGCGGTACCTGAGAGAGCAGTCTCTGTGGGTGCTGTACCTGAGAGAGCAGACTCGAAACCAGCCGGGACAGCACTGGAGGGAGCAAGTACAGGGGGCACCATACCAGAGAGAGCAGACTCACTAGTACCCAGGGCAGCGGGCTCTATACCTGGGTCAGGCGGCACACACAAGTAACAGTCTCCCTCGGCACTAACAGTCAATGCATACATGGCAGCAATAATAGCATCGTAGTCAAGAGCAAAGACATCAACACCAGCCCTCATGAGCTCAGCCCAGCGGGGGCGCTCAACATCCGCACCCATCTCCTCACGCCAAGCGTCGTCAAGGCGGGAGAAGCAACGGTACGGGGTGTGGAACCTCCCACACGTCTGTCCCTTGCGGTCACCTGTGCGAATGACATAAGAACAGCGGGCACTGGCCCCCGACGTCCCACGCTGAGCAAGCCACTCACGAAGCTGCTGGGTCGTCTGGGGACGCTGCTGCTGCTGGGAGCTCTGGCCCGAGCCAGTGCCTCCACTCCGACCTCCGCCGCCACCACTACCACCGCTCCGACCGCCACCGCCACCACCGCCACCACCGCCACCGCCGCCACCGCCGCCGCCGCCACTACTGCCACTGCTCCCTCCGCCGCCCCCGTCTCCACCACCGACCCCACTCCCACCAGCGCTCCCGCCACCGCTCCCTCCAGCACCGCCTCCCCCCCCACCTCCCCCACCTCCTCCCCCACCAGCGCCACCACCACCACTTTTGCCCCCCTTGCCCTTGCCGGTGCGGCGCCTCCCACCAGGAGTAGAAGCAGCGCCAACAGACTCAGCACCAAGGAAGTCAACAGCAGCAGCAGCAGCGTAGGAGGGAGCGAGGGGAGAGGGAGAACACCCCTCAAAGATGGGGGTGCGAGGAGCGCCACGAGCAGCACCGACAGCCACAATGCTCTTTTCGGCCGCGAGCAGGTGCTCCTCTAGGAGGGCGACTGTGAGCTCAGTGGGACAGCGAGCAAGGAAGTGGTCTCGAACTGAGCGGAGGGTGTCAGGGAGACGGGTGACTATGAAGTGGAGTGTCCAGTACAGTGGAGGGGGGTTCTTAGCGCAGAACTCGGTGGGAAGGGCGGCACGCAGGCGAGCATCACTAGTGCGAAGGTGGGTGATAAGATCGGCGACTGTAGTAAAGGTGGACAGATCGGGGAACAGGTACGGCAGCATGAGGCGGCTAAGCTCGGCTGTGGCAGGCGAGGAGTAGCGAGCGACGACAGCGTCGTACAGGGCCTTAGCGGATTTGCAGTCGCCAAAATGCTCTAGCTCAGCTAACGGCAGGTGACTGCGAATGGCTAGGCGAGCAGCTGCGTCACGAGTCTGCCAGTGGGAACGAACACTAAGCTCAGCTGTGGCAGGAGGGGCAGGCGCAGCACCAGACGCGTAGTCATAGAGCGACACATGCTCCTTGCTATCGCTCAGGAGAAACAGCTGCAGGTCATCTAGCCAAGCGGTGAAACGCACAGGGCGGCCCTCAGCATCGAACGACAGCACGCGAATGGAAGCCATAGCGACAGTGTGACAGAGTAACGCAAGCTGCCGCAGCAGGGGAAGACGACTGTGCACGGATAGAGAGCAGCGGGCGAGGCTGGCGCTACGGGCAGGCGGCGCTGCAAGCGGTCAGTGCGACGGGAGGGCGACGCTGCGAGCGGGCAGCGCGGCGGACGGGCCGGGAAGCGGGTAGCGCGGCGGGCAGGCGGCGCTGCAAGCGGGCAGCGAGCGGGCGGGCGGGCTGCGAAGCGGGCAGCGGGTCGAGCGGGCCGCGAAGTGGGCAGCGAGCGGGCGGGCGGGCTGCGAAGTGGGCGGGCCGCGAAGCGGGCAGCGGGGCGAGCGGGCTGCGAGGCGGGCGGGCCGCGAAGCGGGCAGCGAGCGGGCGGGCGGGCTGCGAAGTGGCGGGCCGCGAAGCGGGCAGCGAGCGAGCGGGCTGCGAAGCGGGCGGGCCGCGGAGCGGGCCGCGAAGCGGGCAGCGAGCGGGCGGGCGGGCTGCGAAGCGGGCGGGCCGCGAAGCGGGCAGCGAGCGGGCGGGCGGGCTGCGTAGCGAGCGGGCCGCGAAGCGGGCAGCGAGCGGGCGGGCGGGCTGCGTAGCGAGCGGGCCGCGAAGCGGGCAGCGAGCGGGCGGGCGGGCTGCGAGCGGGCGGCTCGGCGAGGGGCGCGCGAGGGCGCTAGTGAGGGGCGCGCGAGGGCGCTAGTGAGGGGCGCGCGAGGGCGCTAGCAAGGGGCGCGCGAGGGCGCTAGCAAAGGGGCGCGCGAGGGCGCTAACGAGAGTGCGCGCGAGGGCGCTAACGAGGGCGCACGAGGGCGCTACGAGGCTAGGGAACGGGGTAGCGTGGTAACCGCATGCGAGCGGTGGTGGGCCCTAAAAAAAAAACGATCGGTAGGTCCTAGGGACCTCCTGCTCTGAATACCATTTCAGAATCACTAGGCAAGAATGGTGCATTGAATGGAAGAATTGGGTACAAGTAGCAAACCCTAGTTGGGGTTGTACCCCATATTGGCTACCCCACTACAGCCTACAAGCATAATATAGTTTAACAGGACCAAGAGGCCGATGTCCCCCGGTCTCACGTGTGGCTGCACGGCCCTAGGGTCACCAAGGACCGGCTTCGCGCATACGTGAAGTACATGATTCGGGAGTTGAACCTCGATGCCGAGTCCGGCAAGGGGGCCGACAACGCCACAGGAACACAGCCGGTGCAGTCGACAACGGTACACACGCTCCTCGGGCGCATAAAGGCATGCCAGATGGCGGCGAGAGTGGAGGCGACGCTCTTCCGGGAGACGGAACTGAGCATCATGAGGGAGATATCGGTGGTCAGGTCGGAGGTGCGGTACATGATCCGCACCAAGAACGAGCGGGACATCAAGTGAGTTTATGTTTTAACCTACGTCGACCACTCTCCTGCTGTCATGATCTTTGTCGACGCCGCCCTAAATACCCCTTGCCCATGGCATTGTTGGCAGGAACTGCGCCGATCGCCGTCGCGGAACCATCGGCGATACCTACACCGCCGAACAGTTCCGCCAGATCATGTTCAGGGTGCTGCCGGCGTGGGCGGCCAAGGCGTGGAACCCGCGGGGTACGGGTCCTTCGCAGACGCTGTGGAGGTTTCTTCTCTTGAAGGTGCTCACGCTACTCTCCCACCACTCTCTCCTGCGCGGTGCAAGCATCCGCGAGATCACTCTCCCCGACATCTTCTTGTACCGACTGGCGAGCACCTCCTCGATCAACCCGGAGAACCAGCCGGTCGTCATGGTCATCGGAGCGCGGAACTCGAAGACGTCCAAGGATGCTCGTCTGCAGCAGAGCTACGCCGCGCGGCACCTCGAAGCGGAGTTGTGCGCCGTCGGCGAGACGGGCCTGTGGTTGCACTTCGTCCTCGATCAGATCGGTCAGTTTCACGGCGTCCGCCTCATTCCGCCGGTCGACACCAGCACACGCGCTAGCTGGTACAAGAAGCACCTGTTCTTCGCCAAAAACGACACCGACCAGGGTGAGCTCTCTGCGGCAACCCACCAACGCTGGACGCGGCAGTTGTGGGACACCAACAAGGTGTTCTGCAAGAGGAACGTGCACGCCGCTCGAGCGGGCGGGGCCCAGGAGCTGGCTATCGACGGCACGCCGCGCGCCGAGATCGCGGAGCTTGGACACTGGGCTCTCGACAAGATGACGCGAGCGTACATCACCGCCATTCCGGTGGGGGTGGTGATGAAGAAGGCCGGGTACTCGGGGTACAAGCAGGACTACTTCTTGGGTCGGAGCAGGGTGCCGCCCTCCGAGAAGCTCCTGAAGCTCCTCGCCGAGCACATATTCCCCGGCGTCGACGACATGCTGAAGGAGGTATGTTAGTCGACGCCCTCGTAGCTTGCCGCCGAGTCGTGTTGCCGACCTTTTCTGAGCTCCCCGTACCCGTGACAAATGGCAGGCGGAAGGGAAGGCTGTCGAGGGGTCAGACGCCGACAAAGCCGCGGTGCACTTCTGGCGCACTCTCCTGATGCTGCGCCGCATCGTCGCCGAGGACCTAGCGGTGAAGCTAGTCCGCACACCATGGCACCCGTACGTCCAAGGTTCCAAGCTCTGCCGGATCCCCCTCTTCCAGCACTGGGCGAAACGGGTGGAGAGCGTCGACACCGAGACGATCAACAAGCGTCGCGACCCGACCCAAATACAGCCAGAGGTAAGTCGACGATACTGTCGCCGACGTGCAGTAGGGAGTGTAAACCAAACCACCGCGGCCCTCACGTTTTCCTCCTCCTACTGCTGCAGGAAATCTCGGTGCGCATGGACACCGAGTACTACAACATGTCCCTCAAGGCCCAGATGCAGAAGGAGAAAGAGCGCGCCGCGAACGAGAAGATTGATCTCCTAGAGGAGATCGAGAAGCGCGACGACACCATCGCTGGGCTCACCGCCGAGCTAGCCCGTGTCACCGAGGCACTCCGCTTGTCGGAAGCACGGAGAGTGCCGGTGGCCCCGCCGTCGGCTCCCGCGCAGACTCCCAGCGATGGTGGATCGGCGGAGTCGGCCAGCACGGGGGCTGGAGCCAAGAAAGGGGATGACAAACCCCCGCCCCCCCCACAGACGGACGAGGAGGCCAGTTACGAGCTCAACGTGGTGCAACCGTGGCGGGAGGCAAAGACTGTGAGGGACGCTTGGCGCCTATGGAATTCCGCCACCGCCAATGACACCCGTCGCCTTTGCGACAGGGTCGCCGAGAAGGGATTCGTCGCCCGCCACACCCTCCTCACAGGAAAGGGCGCGACGCAGGGTGGGCTCGACACGAAAGTGCGACGCATGATGAGGGCCATGGATGCGGTGCGCCAGCTACGCGCGAGCGACGGCGACGCCGACACCGAGGCCGTGGTCGACGCACTGAACAGGATCGCGGCACCGGGCATTGGGACCTTCTGTGACGCCCTCACGGTGCTCAACCCGAAAACGGAACCGATGAAGTCGAAAGAGCCTGGCATGGGAGTCAAGGGGCTGGGCCCCAAGGTCGTCTCTAAGCTTCGCCTCGCCTGTGGGCTTGTCGCGCTCAATCTGAAGCCGGCCGATTGGCTCGAAGCCCTCTTTCCAGACACCTGGGAGGAGCAGATGCCGAAGACCAAGGCCGACCTGGCGAAGCCGACCGCACCTGCCAAGTCGACAGCACCGGCCAAGCCGACCGCACCCGTGCAGCGTCCTCCGACCAAGCGCAAGAAGACGGCATGAAGTCCCTCATGGGATATGCGTCTGCGTAGATTTTGGCAGACTTAAACAGCCCCCCCTCCCCCCTCTCCCCCCCCCCCCCCCCCCCCGCCCCATCCGACTGATGTTTCTGGTAGTTTGTAAACATCCCACATCAATGTCCATGCGAACCGTAGTTGTCGGTGAATGTTGCCGATGTTGGTTGTTTGTCGCCCAGTACAGTAGGTGTGGCTAAAAATCACTGTCGACGTCATGCCGACAACCATGTTTCTGCACTGCTTATCGCCGACGTATCATGTGCATATCATGTCGACATATGCGCCGACTTGGCTCATCGGGTGATATTCGGCTAGCATGGTTATACAGTGACACCGAGTTGTTAGCCCAATATTGAAACGAACAGCACTTGAACAAAAAAAGGCCACATTTAACAAATCTACGCCAAAATCGGCGCCGTCCATACCAATATAGTACACACCCTAGCAACCTAGCAAACATCATTCCGCCGACTACGCATCCGTACTACCTCTTCCTCTTGCTGCCCTTGGCCTGCTTGACCTTCTCCCCCTTCCTCCCCCTGTGATCCAAGTCGTACTCCATCTTCGCGTCACACGGCACATCGATGCCCTCCGCTTTGAGCTTGGGCCCGTCGAGGGGGCACATTCCCCAGAACGCCAAGGTCTCGACCGTCGCTCTTGCGATCATGTCGGCCTCGTCTTCCTCAATGCCCGCCTCGAAGGCCCTGGCCACTCCATAGCGCTGCAGCTCTGGCGCGACGTTATGTGCAACCTCCCCCGCGGGAGCCTGCCGAGTGCGTGCGTGTTCGATAACCACGTGCATGACCATCGCGAAGTGCTCGCCCCTCTCCTTCCCCGCACCTGCCAGAATCGCGGCCGCCTTACCTTCGCCCACAGCACCGAGCACCGACGCCGGCGTCGACATGTAGCACCAGAGGGCGCATGCAGAGGCCGCTAACGCCTGGGCCCCCATCTGCACCTTCTCGTCCGCCTTCCTGTCCGCGCCTTCCATATCCGTCGTCTCTCCCGCGGTCGCCTCCGCGCTCCCGTCGACCTTCCCATACGCGACTCTCGCCGCGACCTTTCCATACGCCGCGCACATCGACACGCGATTCACCATCGCCGACATGTTGGCATTTGTCTCCGCCCTGCCTTCCTCCGTGTCCTCGATGATGGGGAACCACATCGCCGGCCAGAGCACGCCATGAAGCGCATCACCCGAACCTGCGTACCCACGGAACCTGCCGAGTATGTCGTCGAACCTGCCGAGCGAACACGTACACATAGAATTAATGACACCGACTTGG